ATAAGTTCCATGCATAATATCTAAGCTCTATGGCATTCCGATTTTTAAAAGTTTTTTTTTTAGATTTTCCATTGGTTCAAAGGCAACCAGAATTTAGCATTGAATGGAATTTTTTGAATCATTTTAAAGGGCTTCATGCTAGAAATATTACTGCTTATATTTAAAATATCAGCCAATTGGTATAAGAGATGTTAAGAGATAAACGCCATTTTTTGAAGGATGCATGCCGGACGCAGAGTGATCACAAAAGATCAACCTTGAGTACTTTGTGTTCAGGTGAGATAAAAAGTGGATGACAATATGCATCATGAAATAACAAAGCTTGCTAACCTTATTGTGTGCCTTGACAAGCAAATAATACTGGTTTATACAAACATTAGTTATCTTAAAACCATGGCTGAATGCAATACATGAACTGGTATCTTAAGTGGAAACAAACAATCGCTAAAACATTTTACCTGTTTTTGCTCTTCCATTATTGTCTCAAGAATAGTAAATTTCTTTTTTAAATCTGCATGTTCTTTCTCAGCCTCTAGTTGTCCTTTCTTTTCTTCAGAAATCTGTTTCTCCAGATTTGCAAGTTTGTTTTCAAGTTTTTCAGTCTCAACTTTTCCCTCTGAGAGTTTACTTTTCAGGTCCTCATATTCTTCTTTAGTAGCAGCATTTTCCGTTGATTTCAAAACTTTTGACATTTCGTCCTTGATTTGCCCCAGAATATCTTCAAAACCTTCAGTAGTAACAATGAAGTCCTTCTTCTTCAGCTGATGAAAATAACAATTTTGTTACATTTTCTTTAAGACTACATTAGCTATGTGATTTTTAAACTTCACTCTTACATATAACATATTTTAAAGCAATATCGTTTTATTTCAAAAATACCTCACTTTATCAATTAACTTAAGGGAATTATTATAACCACTTCAAACTCTGTTACCTTAACTTTGTCCTGAATTATGTGGCATGTTCTCTTTAATCATTTTAAGTTAACTCCATAAAGATTTCAAACTGATATAATTCATTATTTACACTTACATCTTGAAGTTTTTTCACTGCTATCTGGGCATCTGGTTGTTGTAATAGCTCTTTACCATCTTGTAAAACTGCTATCATATCGTCAATATATGAATTGGCCTCACTTTCTTCTAATTCCATGCTGCTTGAGTGGAAAATATTATTTCTATACTGACGTACCTATTGAATAGAAAACACAGGTTTTAATTTTGTTCTATGCATATACATGTGTATACTGTTAAGCAATCAAAATTGTTTTGTTGACACTTGTTTAGGTACTTACCTTCATACAAGAGCGATCAGTAATCACATGTGTCGCCTCATGATGGCCAATTTCATGTTGAGACAAAGTTTGTGACAGACGGACAGACAGACGGACAGTGCACAACTAGACTTGGTACTGATCATTCCTGTAAAGTTTGGATAAAATTGCACCAGTAGTTTATGAGGAGTAGTCCGGACAAGCTTTTGCGTATCTGGCAACACACAGAAAAAACACCTTTTTATCAAAGGGCCATAACTCAGCCAAAAATCATTCAACCGGAAAACCCCTTTAATATGCGCAAGGACTTGAGCTACAGATCAATCCTGTAAAGTTATATTGAAATTGCTTTAGTGGTATAAGAGAAGTAGTCCGGACAAACTTTAAAAATAAAAATTATTAAAGGGCCATAACTCTGACAAAAATCATTGAACCGGAAAATGCTGATAATATGCACAACTACCCTTGGTACTGATCATTCCTGTAAAGTTTAGATGAAATTGCACCAGTAGTTTATGAGGAGTAGTCCGGACAAGCTTTTGTGTTTCTGGCAACACACAGAAAAAATACACCTTTTTTATCAAAGGGCTATAACTCAACCAAAAATCATTCAACCGGAAAACCCTTGCAATATGCGCAAGGACTTGAGCTACAGATCAATCCTGTAATGTTTCATTGAAATTGCTTTAGTGGTAGAAGAGAAGTAGTCCGGACAAACTTTAAAATTAAAAATTATTAAAGGGCCATAACTCTGACAAAAATCATTGAACCGGAAAATGCTGACAATATGCACAACTAGACTTGGTACTTATCATTCCTGTAAAGTTTGGATGAAATTGCACCAGTAGTTTATGAGGAGTAGTCTGGACAAGTTTTGTGACGGACAGACAGACGGACAGACAGACGATGGAAAAGTGATCCCTATGTGTCGCCACTACTCTGTAGCGGCGACACAAAAAGATGCAATCATAAATTTTACCAGGCCTTTTTCTTACATGTATAATATTCATTGCAAATTTGGGGACATTGTGTCTAAGACTTAATTTTTTATTCAAATAAGGAAATAAATAATTGTGAAATTTATTATTTGGGAAAAAATGCCAGCATATAAGATGTGCAAACTCCTTTTTTCAAATCACCGACTTCGGGAAAGGGATTTTTTGGGGAATGGGAAAAAAGGACAAAGTTTGCATTGGGAATGCCCAGGCCTATATTTGGACACATGGGATACGGAAAAATAGGCCTGTATACAAATAGTTCTATATACAAATCTACAATTGTACATGTTTACAGTAAATATTAACCACAAGCCTTGTGAATTGTTATCATAAACGATTGGTGGACTTTTATACATTTGTTGTGAATCATTAAAGGGGTGAATAACTTCATAACCTTCTTAGTTAAACTAGAACTGCCACTGTCATGGCGTGAATACCCCCGCATACCACTTTGTCAGAATAAAGCTCAAGGACAACTCCCCTGCCAAATCTGAAGGTAGTAAGCCATTGCATTGCTAAATTATGTATTCTACATGTTTTTGTGGCAAAGATCAAAGTGACCTTTACCTTTGACCTCAAAACTGAAACTGCCATTGCATGACTTGAATACCCCCATTCATGCAGCTTTGCCTGGGGTGTTTTATGATGAATATATGAGAACATAATTTTTATGCTTCAAATATGAAAATGTCAAAATCAATATCACTTTAGACAGGCATTCTTAAGCATTTGAGTGGACAAACTTATTGAAGTAAAAGCCCCTGTGACCTTGACCTTTGACCCAGTGACCTCAAAATCAATAGGGTCATCTACTTATCATGACTAACCTACTGCCAAATATATAGACTGTGGGTCAAAGGAATCTTGAGTTATTGGGCAGACGTCACAAGGAAAAACCGACGGCCGGATGGACGAGCTGATGACGAGCTGTCAGTCCTGTATACCCCCTTACAACTTCGTTGTGCGGGAGTATAAATATTATTTTCTTTTACTTAAATGCTGAAGATACAACATTTACATTACAATAGAGCTGATAAAAGATAAGTAAAAGATATTGTATTAATGATTTACCTTTAAAAAAAGGTTGTTTGCTTTTGTGACATCACATCCAATGTGGCTATGAAAATACTGGTTATTTATCATTAGATGTAATAACCCAGTACAATCAGTTTCACCAGCAGATTGTTTCTGCTCGTACCCTGGAGCATTTATAAAACACTTACAAATGCTCCAAGGATCTGTCACCCACTGTTGAGCATCTGTGTTTTTCCAGTTAGGTGCAGGTGGCGTGGAGGCATGATTCTGCACAATAAAATCATAGATGGCGCCACATATGTTGTTCGGACAAGCATTTTTTCCCTTACAGCAACAGCTGCATTTTACTTGCCCAAGAGGACAAACTTTGTTTCCAGCATTCCCAGGTACTGGCTTATGGTCTGGCTTTAGGGTTTCAACTCTACAGGTGCCACATGTCACAGTTGATGGTAGTGACTTTGTAGTCCTGATGTTTTGTAAGATATCCTTATGTTGTTGGTCAGCTATGTCATTACAGAATGGTACCAGTCCATCCTTTAAATATCCAAGTCCTAAACCAGCCTTTACCCACTGTCTGTATTTTTCCTTCTCTAACTGAAGTTGATGTGCCATCCTGATACTCTATCAATATCTATACAAACAAAACAAAAGTATTATGTTAGATTTTATATAAATAAGTAATTATGGTCTTGAATTGCAATTCAAAGTCCAAAATACTGGGTAAATATGATATGTGTTCCTAAAAAAATCAATTACAGGGAGAAAAAAATAGAGTAGAGATGTTATCGATCAGTATTTTTGTATTGATATATCGGTAAAGAATTATAGGAGATACTGCGATACTGTAACCCAATTTATATTCGCGAATACAAATTTTCGCGTTTTGCCGAGGTCGGACATATTCGCGAATATTAATTTCCGCGTTTTCTTGATTTCCGACAAAAAATATTCGCGGATTGGAAAGTCCGATGGGGCCGTAAAATCCATTAGCCGACTATTAATCTTCAATAATTTAGGTCATTATTGGTGTCTTAAATGGGATTAACAATACGCTAGCCTTATATTGTATTGGTAAGTGAATTGTGATCAAAATTCAGCAACACATTTTCTCTATATATGTACATGTACGCATCGTTCGTCTTCATTTCTAAACATGTCGTTATTTCTATAACATATTTATATTTTGTACCCACCGTTTATTTAGAAAAGTCTTTAAGAAATTCAATTTAAGCGTTTCATAAAAAATACCTTCTCCAATCAGGGATCGAACCCACGCCGAGAAAATTATGTTATAATACAGGCTGTTAAGTTTGACAGGTAAAAATCGATACTAGTATGAAACCGTTTTGTATTTCACTGTTTGTAATTATGTACACCCAATACCCTTTTGTGATGCTCGATAGGGTTATACCACCTTTGTCTTAACAATTAACTCAAACAATTATTTTATAGGATCAAAAAATCAATAGCCTTTTGTGATGCTCGATAGTTTTCCCACTTTTGTCAAACGATTTATTCAAACATTTATTATTATATTTAATAGTATTAAAATGTGGATGTTTATTTTTATTGCTATATTGACATAGAGTTCTTTTGATATTTATAAAATAGTAGTAGTTTACTTAGTTTGTGTTTTTATTGCTTTATGGCAATGTTCATAACAATTCATTACTTCCTAACAGGTGCCCGTAAAATTCGAATATGTCCGGTCAAGTAGCTTTGCATGAACAACGTCTAAAATAAAAATTTCTCTCCAATTTATTCGCGAAATCGTGCGGACTTATTCGCGCAAACAAATATTCGCGCTTCGTAGCCATCCGCGAATAAAGCGAATATTAATTGGTCGCGAATATTCGTTGGGTTACAGTATATCAATTGCCAGGCAATATTTAGCTTTCAAGATTTTTTTAATGTTCCATAAGGACACTGACGACAGTTATAATTAAACGTATGCATTTTGTAAAGAAACCATTTGATAAAACAAAAAAAGATAAATAAGCTATGAAAACTGAACAATTTGTTTATTTCTTTTATCATATAACTATAAATGACAACTAATGACTATAACTTTAAAGTTTAAAGCATTTTCCATTCTAATTTTATTGTTGTTGCTGCAATTACGAAGTTATTGATAAGGTTAAATCCCGTCCTTGCCGTTCAAAATATACCGGGGTTTAATAAGCAAATTATAGTGTTTACAACCTGAATAATTATTATAGTTTAACATTTTATAATCATAATTTAATTCATACAAAGAAACACTGACACAAATTTTCTTGTAAAATCTGAATTGAGGGGTCTTAACACCCACTTAGCAGACGTGCGAGATTACAACGAAATTCGGCAGTATTTGTTAGAGACACAGGGAGGTAATTTGGTGTGATTTTCATTTTGGAAAAAAAATGTTTGAAAACATTTGGCATCACAGGCGCTTGTCACTTTATCAAATATTTTACATAATCAGCCTATATTATATATATGTATATTAAGATTATAGTATATACTTAGTATATAGCCCATATAGAACATAAAAAAGTTTGCTTCAAGCACCTGTGGTTGGCATTCAATACCCGATAATTAAAAACAAGAACCGGTTGAACCGGGTGATGCTCCCCGAGAAGGTTCTAGACACAGGAAAGTATAAAAAAAAATGAACAAAGGGCAAAAACTCCAAAATTAGGCAAGGAGGAGTTATGTTTTTTTGCACTGCACTTCTATTCAATGAGATCTATCTATCTATAAAGTTTCCTGATGATATCAGAGTTATGTCCCTGGTAAAATTCAAAGTGTAAAAATGAACAAAAGGGCAATAACTCCAAAATTAGACCAGGCTTTGTTAAGGTTCTTTAAGCATTGCAGTTCTATCCAATTATATCTAACTACCTACAAAGTTTCATGTTGATATCTCTAATAGTTTTAAAGTTATGTCCCGGACAAAAGTCAAAAAGTAAAAATAAACAAAGGGCAATTACTTCAAAATAAGGCAAGGCAGAGTAATGATTCTTAAGCACTGCATTTCCATCCAATGAGACCTATCTATCTACAAAGTTTCATGTTCAGATATCTCTTATAATTTTAGAGTAATGTCCCGGACAAAGTTCAAAGTGTCAAAATGAACAAAGGGCAATAACTCTAAAAGTAGGCAAGACAGTGTTACAGTTCTTGTGCACTGCAAACCTACTTAATGAGATCTATCTACCTACAAAGTTTCATGTTGATACCTCTTATAGTTTAAGAGTTATGTCCTGGACAATGTTCAAAGTGTGAAAATAAACAAAGGGGGATAATTAAAAACTTAGACAAGGCAAGGTTATGGTTTTGTGCACTGCACACCTACTCAGTGAGATCTTTCTACCTACAAAATTTCATGTTGATACCACTTATAGTTTTAGAGTTATGTCCCAGACAAAGTTCAAAGTGTAAAAAAAACAAAGGGGGATAATTAAAAAATTAGGCAAGGCAGAGCTACGGTTCTTGTGCACTGCACACCTACTCAACGAGATCTATCTACCTACAAAGTTTCATGTTGATACCTCTTATACATTTACAGTTATGTCCCGGACAAAGTTCAAAGTGTAAAAATAAACAAAGGGGGATAATTCAAAACTTAGGCAAGGCAGAGTTACGGTTCTTGTTCACTGCACACCTACTCAATGAGATCAATCTACCTACAAAGTTTCATGTTGATACCTATTATAGTTTTAGAGTTATGTCCCGGACAAAGTTCAAAGTGTAAAATAAACAAAGGGGCATAATTAAAAAATTAGGCAAGGCAGAGTTACGGTTCTTGTGCACTGCACCCTTACTCAGTGAGATCTATCTACCTACAAATTTTATGTTGATACCTCTTGTTGTTTCAAAGTTATGTCCCGGACAAGAAAAGGGGACGGACGGACGGACGGACAGCCGGACGTACGGACGAGGCGGCGACTATATGCTCCCCCGAAATTTTTTCGGGGAGCATAAAATTGGAATCAATTGTAAACGTGTGACCATATAAATGATTTACAAATATTCATTAATTGAACAAACATTATTTTTTATCCAGTTTCCCCTTGCAGAAAGATATACTGGTATTTAAAAAGTCCCAGTATTTCCCAGTTATTATCCTAGAAAATTCCAGAATGTTAAAACCAGTCTTGGCTATTCTAGTAATGCCTAGGAAATACCAGTTACTGAGAACTAGGCATTTCTAATAATTTTTAAACAACTCATCAATTTCAAAGTTATACTAGGAATTGTAATTTATTTTCTGAGATTTCTAAGACTTAAGATTTTGCAAAATTCCTAGTCTTTAGGAATTACTTAGAATTTATCTTGTAGAACAAAATCCTTAACATCTGTGCTAAATTCCTTGAATCTTACATAAATTCCTAAAGACTAGGAATTCTCTTTGTTGAAAGTAAACAAGTAAATAAAGAAGGAAGACAATAAAATTGAAAATAAAAATGTTTTCTTTCTTTTTTTAAATAAAACAACATACTGATCTAGATCTATTTAATAATATTTTTCTAGGATTACTTTTATTATTATTATTTAATTGAAATTTAATAATCAATTGACCTTAATGGTCAACCTGCATTATGACAATTTTATCATTGGCCATTTAATTAATAGATATTAAATAGGAATATATAACCCAAAAAGAAATAACAAATGTTCAGGCACTCCAAGTAAATCAAAGACGTATTATAAACCTTAAGAAAATAATCAATAATTGACATCTGAAGTATGTAATTTTTATCAGTTGTGTAGAGCTATTTTTAGCGCTGTCAAATTACATCCACTGATGTCATGCTTCAGTGCACAGGCTGTGTGTATAAACCACTTTATGCACGGCTTATACTGCCATCCAGCTGGCTTACGTAAGGTCGGTGGTTCTACCCAGGTGCCCGCTCGTGCCTGAAATAATGCCCGGAGGGGCACCTGGGGTCTTCCTCCACCAATAAAGCTGGAAAAAAATCGATGAATAATCTCGGCGAGACGCTCTAGGATGACTCGACTTGAGTGTACGGTCGCCCATATGGGCTTTCCGGCGGCAACCTTAAACGCAAAAAAAAAAAAAAAAAAAAAAATTATAATGCCTGTTGACATTTTTATTGATTGTGATTTGAACATATGTAGATCTAATTAGGGGTGGATTTAAGGTGATTATTATTGCATAGTTGAAAATCCCATGTGGCAAATAGACTCTTGTGCAGATTTTTTCACGTGTCAAATTTGTGCATTTCCAAATTTTCACGAGTCAAAACCCGAATCTCCGCCTGAATTAAAGTAGGCCTATATGTGGCAGGTCATATTTATGCTGACGGAAATTAACGATGATAACTTAGTCTTTACTTAACCAGCGAACCTTAACGATTATACTCGAGCAATTTCCGTATATTTACGCTAACCGAGACGAGCATAATTTCATGACGTATTTAATACGTATACTGATGACGTAGCAACACAATTGTTTTGGAAACTACTGTAGCTTTGTATGAAATTCAAGCGCTTGTTGGGCTAAAATAATAGATTTGTGAAATAAAATTCAACGATATAATTGAAATTATTCAGTCATTGTATTGACGGCAAAAACAACGGAACTACACGAAATTTTGCGAATCAAGCACATGTTACTGACGTAGT